AGAATATATCTCTCTCGTACTCGAGTGATATTGCTCATATATATATATATATATATATATATATAAAGAACAAAAGTATTCAAGCTCAAGCAGAGCAATTGGGAAAAAATAAACCTGACCATGCCAATTACAGTACAGTACATAAACTCGAGTCGGCCTGTGTTTATCGTGTTTATTTTGTCTCACATCATGTTAATGTTGAGAAAAACAATAATATCATTACAGGGCTTTGTGTTTTCTCTTCTTAAACCACTCTCCCTCGAGGAAACTTAAAGGAATATGTCTCAAGATCATTTCGCTATCAGATGAGCTCTCTTCTCGGCTCACTCAGGCTACAGTTGTGCTTACCTGCAGTCGTGAATGCAGTGATGGACAGCTGTGTTTCCTCAGTCCACTGGTGTTTGGATTTCATGTGATTTCTCATTGTGGTGGTGATATTATCATAACAGTTTCACAGATTAATTTGATCAAAAGTAATTCCATTTTGTAAGATCATTTTGTAAGATCATTTTGATCAAAGTAATTCCAAACTTCGCCAGGCAGACGATGACATTCTGTGATCAAATACAATCAACTTGTTAATGCGCTCCACAGCGCCACTCATGCATTTAGTTCTAAGCGACTTTTAGTTTGTGTGCTTAAGCCAGGCGTACACAATGCCGTACACGGTTATGTTTTGTTTTGTAAATTTATTATTTTTGAGGCTGATCTGGCTTCATAGAATTCTGACGGTCGGAGGATTGTATGTCCACGCACACGTCACGAGTGAGTTTATCAGGAAACCGCATGGACGCAGTGGTACACGACACGATTTTACGACCTGCCGAATTCCGAAGCAATAGCATGAAGTTCTCTGATGTAATGACATGTATTGAACGGAGCTGAGTTGAGAGAAGGGCAGTGTATAATAAACTGTGTAACCTATATGTAGTACATTTAAATAAAACCACTCTCACTCTCTCTTTCTCTTTCATAACTGTATAATACTGATACGAGACATACAGGTTCTTTTTCAGCACCGAGAAACTGGGATGTCTGATCATCCCGTGTGTGTGTGTGAATTATAAAGCCTAGTTACACGCTATAGCTAACAAAAAGCAGCTACCTATACGTGCTACATCTCACCTGATAACTGTAGCTCTTGAGCGATCCGCTGTAAAATATCATCTCGGACGACTCATGGTACACACTGCATGACATTATACAGCGCTCGCTGCTTCTGCCAAAGTTCAGCGAGACCTCTCTCGTTTTCATGAAAGAATATGAGCAATACCTTTCATTGATCCAATTGTCGAAGAACAAAAAAGCTTTTAAAACTTTGTGTTTATAAATCTTTTCTTATCTTTAATGACATGTCAGTCTCAAATTGTTAGTTTTTTTCAGTTTGTAATGTATTAACCACCCCCTTTTTCTTTTAATTTATTTTGTTGGCATTGTTTATCACTTTTATTTGTTGATGGTTGTATTACTGTTTGTATACTGTTTTTGA